TTAGAATGACTAAAATAAAGCTGTTACTGTACATGTGTTTTTACATATTCATCTGTACTCCTTTCCTCAAAACTACACGTTAAATTTCTGACAAGGAAAACTTGACCTGGGTATTTTATATATAATCAATGATTATAATCTTTGTCCTTTTAGTATCTTGGAATTATTTTTACATGCAAATGATTACTATAGTCATACATTGTTGCCTTTGCACTCCTATTTTCAAACAATAAAGGTGGAGAGGAAGAGGCTCCTTTCACAAAGTCCGTGATAACAGAGCGACAAGAAGGCGGCCTCTATGCAGTACCAGAAAACTGAATAAAATAATAAAAAGTGTAGCATGCTGGCCTCTATTCTATAACCACCTTAAAGCAATATGGATACAGTTCTGTCATTTAGGCATTAGAGAGCAGGGCAAGCAGCTTAATTACTCCAGAGCTAACATCTTATCTGGAATTGGAAGGTATTTGTGGTAACCTCCCTCGTGTTGAGGGTAGGCCCTATCTTTCTATCCTCAAGTACAAACTTCTAGAATGTGGTATTGAAACACAAAAGTAGCTGATAAATGCCTTTATAACTTAGTTGAACAGCAAAGTATTTGTGTTTAATGAGGAATAATATTCAAGTAGTTCTTGGAATATTTGATTGCTATTGTGTGTACATTATTACTTCATAAATAATTTGTGGGTTTGAACAAGAAATTAGCCTTGAAATTCTATGTGATTTTAGAACTTCTGTTAGGAGCTTTGTAAATTACTGAGCCAGTTCTATATTTTCTTTAAGAAAAAAAAATCAAACTAAAATAATGGGAGATAACTTTGGTTATTTAGCAGTGGCCCGAGGTATCGTGCCTTTTATAGTATGTGTCTCGGAGGGAGCTTAAGGCTCTTTTTATAAGCTATCTCATTAATTCTAGCAGAATTAAGGGGCAGATACTATTATCTCTATTCTACAGACGCTGGGCCTTAGGCATAGAAACCAAAGTTCAGCTAACTTGTCCAAGGTCACATAGAAAGTCTATAGGAAGATTTGAAATGTTCACTTTTCTCTTTCTATTATTTTTAATGTATTATTTTTCTTATATAAAATCTATGTACAAATTTACAGGAACCCATATAAGAATTTCACCTTGCGTTTGTGGTCCTTAGGACTATATTTCTCTGCTTTAGTTAATTCCCCAGTCTCTGAGGTGTGTCTTTCCCACTGTGACTTCTGTTGTTGATCAGCTAGTTCTGCTTTCATCTTCAAACCTCACCTCACCATGGGCATTCTTCTGTGTCCATGAAGAAAAAAATTAAGAATCAATAAATAAGTCTCTGAAGAAACCATTTTTTCTTTAGTTTGTACACACTGCGAAGTGCTTTTATTTTTCTCCTTTATTTTGTATCTTGTTTCCATGGTTTAGATTATCCAAAATGTGATCACATTATTTTTAGCATAGAGTAACCCTTCTTACTTCTGTCTTAGAGACTTTAACAGTGATCAGATTTTTCTGCTCAGTTCCTTCGTGCAATAAATTCTCTTCTCCCCTGATAGTGGAGTTCTAATTTGTCCTCAACTCTGTCCTGTCATAGACATCTTGGTTCAAAAACCTGGAATGAAGTTTCCTAGGATGTTTAATAGCATCTTCTCCATTTGCATTTTATTGGAAGTTTTGTAATATTTTACTAGTGTATACACCTATGAGCCTTTGGGTTTCTTCATTATATACACATTTGAAAGTCCCTGGAATATATCGCATACCAAATAAGTGCAGGTGTAGGGAATTAATGAAGCATGACAATATTGATGACTATTTCCTTTCATGGTGGGTCACACAGGTGGTTTTTAGAGCACCTTCTCTTTAATGCTCATTTATTTAGTGTACTAGCATTTCATTACTTACAAGTTTTCTAGGTAATTCTCAAACTCTTCTCTTACTCTATTCTACATTATATCAACTGTAGTTAAAACAATGTAGTGATACAGACAATATAGTTTTTATCAGGAAGTCAACATACTGTTTACATTTCGATTTTACTCCATCTTTTCTGAAAGTGGAGGTGACATAAATTCCATATTATAATTCTTATTATAAAATGAGTCTTATTTTAAGACTCATTATAAGTCTTATTATAAAATAAAGTGAGTCTTCTCACTTGAATCAACTTGATGATGAATGGTACACAAGTCTCTCTCTTCATCTCATCCACATATATTTCTCTCTCCCCTTTTCCATTCTTCCACCTCTCTTTATATTTCCATATACCAACAAACTGAGCATGTGTGACATACTACGAAAGTTGAACTTCAACTTTTGCACTGATACTTTAGTTAAGGTCTGATACGATACTAACTTTATTCTCTTTATCAGTTTGCATGCATCACCTCAGTGATTTTTACAAAAAATATAAAACATAGAATAATAAGGTATAAAACAAACTGTAACACTTACTGATATACTATTGTTATTTAAGAACCATAGAATTTTAATGGCATGTTTTAAAAGTGGGTCAAGTGATTGGTGGTTGTGTTCTCACTCATTGTATGAAACTTTTCATTTTCAGTTTTAATGTGAATGATATTTGCATTCACATCAAGCAAAGCAACTTTCAAACAAAAAAGAAACTGATGAACTGAGTGCTTGTTTAAGTACTTAGTATTTTAAAATTCTAATGCTCTTCTAAAATAACTCATGGAAATCAAAATATCAACAATCGTAATGGTGTAGGAAATCAAGAAAATGAAATGCTAAGTTCGCAATAGTCATTATACAATCCATTGTGGAATTATCTCATTTACTTTTGGCTTTCTTTATTAGAAGTATATACCTTGTCTCTGTTATTGTGTGCTGCTTAGGTGAGAAGAAAGAACTCAGCACAGGTTTTGCGATTACTACCTTCATCCAAAGGTTCCTATTTGTTGTATCAAAACGAAGCACTATTTCTTATAACCTCTAGTGTTTTCTTTTCTGTGTTAGGATAGCATATGTGTCTCTTGTTCATTTGAACTTTTTTTCTTTTTTCGTAGTTGAAACTGTACCTAAAAGATATGAATATCATTAAAGTAGGAGTAAAAATAACATTTAACCTTCCATTGCTTTTTAGATAGATAAATCAATTTAACCCATTGTATGGACTTCATATTTCCTGCCTTAATATCATTTATTTTAATAATAATTAATATTTCACTGTTGAGCACTGTTGGCTGAACAGGATAGCTTTAATAGAGCTGAAGTGGTGTCATTTTTAAAGGGAAACTGAGCTCCTCAAACAATTCCAGATACTTTGTGGCCACCTGAGGATGGCAACTGGGAGGGAGTATAAAAGAAATGAAAAATGAGATAAAAAGAAATGATATCTCTCAAGAAATAGGGCAAAATATATTGACCAAATTAACAAAAGCAAAAGATAAGAGTTCTTTGTGAAATAAAGACCAAGTCTCCAAACTTTTGTCAGTGAGTTTGGTCCCATGCTGTATATGCTGTCTACAGTGAAATACTATGTAACCGTTTTTCCATACTGCTCTGCACATTCTGTGAAACACTGTAAAGACCACAATGGTATTTAATGTCCTCCCATGTTAAGAGCCTGAATTAGGATAAAATGGATTTTTTATAGACTATGTGTTTCTTTTAATCTTGTAAGGGATGAGGTAGTAGCAGAAATATCAGCAATGTGCAGATTTTACAGTAAAGTTTTTTTCTACAACAGTATAAGGGAGAGATTTGTGGAAGTGTATATTTGTATTTAACAAAGCCAATTTATAAATTAGGGGCAAAAGCCACAATTGTTAACTTTCTCATTACTAATCTACCATGTGCAGATAATCCTTAGAACTCCACAGTCCTATTGGTCATGGCTATGGTTACAGATTTGTACCATGAGCTTTCAAGCTATAAACATTCAGAAAAGGTTCTTAAATTTATGCTATGCTTTGGCAACAGTAATTTTAAACAGTACTGGAAAGGAACAGTGTTGGTTATAAGTATAATAACTATGTACATTTGTGTTACATTCAAATTCATGTAGGATTAATGTATATAAATACTTGTTATTAATAATTTCAGACCGCTAAAAACAGCATTTAATATATATATTATTGATCATATGTCACATCATCAATATTGTATATTTCCTTAATGTGTTATTTTGTTCTATGGATGATGTACTTTTATATTCATTTTATTATGTAACTAAGATAACTTGCAAGTCTCATGCACAGGAGATATGACCAGGAATTGTCCCCTACAGAGATTCTTGTTGGCTCTAGTTGGATAGTTTTATAGGACAACTAATAACCAAATAAACATTACCCTTGACTTTACTGTGTTTGAATGAACAACAATTATCGTAAACACATGCAGTTGAGTCTTTTGATCTATTTTCCATTAATGGGCTGGAGAAAGTTTTAAAGATCATCTTACTATTTACCTTACAATTTCAAATAGATTTTTATTGGGACAAAGTAATAAATATTTTGTGATCTCCTAGTACCACATTCAAATTGTTGTATAAGAGCTGCAGTGTTTGGTGCTGAGTGCCAGAAAACATGCCTTTAGAAGTCTATATTATATGGACTCTATTTGAATGCATTATATCATTTGGATGAAGTATTTAAATGGCATCCCTTCATAATGAATTGATTTAGTTTTTTATATCTTCCCCCAATTGCTGACTCTTGTTTTTTTAATAAAATGTATTTGTGAAAAATACAAAATCTACTAAATGGGAAAGGATTGAAAATAGAAAGCAAGTATATTTCATTTCAATGCATGTTAATTAAGATTTGTGTTTTCTCACCTTTATTTCCAAAGAGAAATTTTTGATTTTAATAATGAAAGTATAAACAACAGTCTCCGCATTCGTTAATATATAGTTACCCAAATCTATTTCTACTTGTTTGATCATTTTGTATTAAATTAATGTCTATAGACCTTTAAATGTTATTTCTGTATTTTATGAAATAAGATCGCTTAAAATCTTCCACCTTAGTGACATTCAGAATCTTTTCTCTTACAGCCATTTCGTAGAGTGACGTTTTCTGTTGTGAGTCAGCCTCAGGACCCACATCAGGGGTCACTGCAGAGTTGCTATGACAGCGGGCTGGAGGAGTCAGAAACACCAAGCAGTAAGAGCTCGTCAGGGCCAAGACTGGGTGCCCTTCCACTCCCAGAGGACAACTATGAAAGGACCACGCCGGATGGCAGTGTTGGTGAGGCAGAGCATATGGAAAATGGTAGGGGCAAACACAACATCCACACACATAATCACGCTAGTGAGCCAGAATAATTAGGCTTCTGAAAGTTAGTATCAAACAAAAAACAAAGTAGATTACACCAAAACTATTTTAAAATACTAAATACTCGGTCAAATTCAGAAATGACAAATAAAAGAAACATAATTCTGTCGATAAAAGCCATAAAATGATGCCATCATTTAAAGTAGCTCAACAGGAATAAATGCACCTAGAAATAAATTAGAGCAGTTCCTGCCATGAAAACGCTAACCCAGTGCACAGCTGCTAAAAAACAACAACGAAGAGAAGTCTTCTTTGACTCTTTTCTTCTATCCATTTTTGTCATGCAACTATTTCTTCAATTGTCAAAAGGCGGTGTCAGTGAAAGGAAAGGACCCTGAGCACACTTTGCTTGAGACTTCCCATTCCTGAATATTCAGCAACGAATTTTCGATCCTATTCTTTAGAATGCCAGGTGAAATGGATGAGAAGCAAGCAGCAGCATCCTGCTCGCCCTAATATGCAGTAAATACCATTAGCACTCCTCACTCCTTAAAGTAGAGAGCTTATTCTGATTTCTGCAAGAGAAAGGGAATAAAACAAAATATAATCCTGCCTACTCTTACCTCATTGTGAGGCTATTAGCATAGTGGACACAATTCTCCTTTATGCCTTTTTGTATATCATAAAATAATATATCAAACAATAAATGTAAATGATTTCACATTTGCTCATGTTCCTAAAGACAATTGTGGTATTTATTTTCTGGATTTTGAGTATTAAGTAAACATTTGAGGAATATGTTTATGTCCAACAGTAGAGTGACAAAGCTCTTCCTAACTTTATTATTATTTCCAATGTGAAAAAGATACAGCTATGTATCAAGAAAGGAATGGGAATTGCATACATTTTGTCTGTAGTGAATAGTTAAGATGGATTTATATCACTCTTCACCTCAATCTACTGATGAAAAGGGATATTTTTCTTGCTTTATACCAGTTTCTTCAGTGGTGGCATGCCAAGACAGTTTATTAGTGCAAAACGAAACAAGCTTTTTTTAAAAAAATTTACCTATGAATATTAAAATCTAGCAATGAATAAATAAAAAGTTGCCCAAGTGAAGTATTCTAAACTAAATTATACTAAGTAGTTATCTTTCTATGTTATTATTAGATTTGATACCAGGACCTGTTGATTTATGTCCTTCTTGATAAATGATTCAGATTTGAAATGGCATTTTGCCTCATGGCTATTAGGCATGCTTATCTGTGTGTATGGTGGTGTGTGCTAAGGTGGAAGGAAGTTTGATGTGGTCTTTCTACAGAGCAACATTTTGTAAGTAATTTTATTAAGTAAGTGTAACATTTTGGTTTGGATTAAAATGATACTGAGTATATATTTAAGGCAAGATTATTTGAGATTATTTGGACAAAAGTAAATATTAAATTAAAAGGTACCTTATGCAAATACATATATATATATATATATATACACACACATATTACATCTCAGTAAGGCAGGATTAATTGCACTTGGGGCTTCTATTTTATATGAAGTTATACTTTGATAATAGCACAATTTACTGTTTACTCTAAACAGTATGTTGTATCATCAAACCTTTTTGGGGGATGTCAGTGGTTTTTGTAGCAATGGCATTATAAGCATCAGATGATGCTATTTTTCTGTTTGTTTTATATTTATTTTGCTTTAAAGACATTCTACATTTTAAAAATAATCAGGAAATGATGCCTAATTAAAGGATAATTATGCTTGGTGAGCCCACATAGGTCAATTTTCAGGAAATCTGCACTTTAGGTGGGAAAAAAAAACAAGGGAATATATAAATAGAATAGGAAGTTCACTGAAAGCTATTTGCTGGAAAAGGTTCCCTTTCTTTTTTTATAACCATGTACTTAGTCCTATCAGCAGAAAAAGCCAGGATAGTACAACCAATTTTCCTACACATCACTGACACTTGATACACAGGGTTTATGTAAGTGATTTGTCATTTGCTGCTGCCTGTGAGCTATGTTGTACCTGATCTATATATAATTACAGATGGAGATAAGATGCACTTTGAACAATCCAGCCACAACAGTTGACATTTGAGAAACAGTTCTGTTTGGATCTTACTCTAATAAATTCCCCTCTTATTATACAGTGTGATTGTATTGCTTGAGTTCTGGTAATTTCATCTTCAATATTAATGGGGCATTCTGACATGAATAGAATCGGAACTGAAGCCTGTCAAATATTCATTTGTCAGATTTAATTGGAATACAGATAATCTGTACTTTTTTGCTTGGTTTAGTTTTAATCAGAATTTATTTCAATTTTCATTCAGATTCTTCATGAAAATTCCATTTTGCATGCTTTCCTCATTCCTAATTATTATTACTTCAAATATTTTCCTTCAGTTTTAACCTGTACGAAACTGTGCACCAACCACTACCTGTTTTGGATGAACTCTCATTGGAACGTTTGGAAGATAATTTACAACATGTTAACACACAACATTCTAATGTCATATCACAAACCAGAAATAAGTTAGAATCTCAAATAAGATGTCAAAGTCGCTGCACCAAGGAAGTCACTGAAACACAAAAATTGAAGTAAAATTTCATTGAAATGTATTCACATTTTACTAAAATTTGTATTGTTCTTTTGCAACTCATAAATTAACTTCATTAATAAGACCCATAACTTGCATTACCAATTAGCTAATTTTACATAGTGCCACTGTGAGCACAATGTTGACATGAACATAATTTGTTATAACCTGAATAAAGTAGAGACTCACTATTTGAAGTTCCTGTGAATTTTAGGAAGTTTAATCACACTTATACCATTATAGATATTTTAGTTTAGAAAAAATATATATTTATCCATAACAATGATCACTAATACGCTCTCTTTCTTTTAATTAATTATCATCAATGTTATGACTTAATGTTGATAAAATTGATATAATTGGTTATTTGACAATTTATTAAAATTTTAATGCAAGAATGTATTTTAAAATAAGCGATTTATGGTACAGTTACGATATATTGAATGGTAAAATATTTGAAACATGTATCAAGGAGCTAGTAATTAGGGTAGAGAGTAAATACAGGGCATAAAGGCATCAATATATTAAAGACAAATATTGACTACATCTAACTTGCTCTTTCTTAATAGTGAATCGCTCTTCAGATTTCTCTTGGAATGGTACTTCTCTTTCTTTGGGACTATTGTATGTCCTCACCTATAAGCCTGGTCTGTTTATTTTGTTAAAAGTTCCATTCTGAACCAATTCTGCAAAGCCAGTTTGCCTTTTCTATGACTTTAATATGTCTAGTGCACCAAAAATTCAAATACAGAAAGCACTCCATTAGGCTTCGAGTTCAAATATTGTTATTCATGGTGGGCTTGCCACATAACTCTTCGGAGTTTGTTTTTCATTATTTTCATCTTTGTGGAATAATTAACTTTGAAATCTCACTATAGTCTAACAATCTATGACTCTGACTTTACATTTGATCCTTCTTCTATTTTTTAGTCTACTTTACATATCAGAGATATAGAGAATTAACAGAGACAAACAGACACACACATACACACAGAGAGTGGGAGACTGATGGGGGAGGAGAGAGAGGGAAAGGAGAGAGGCATCGCCTATTTAGATAAGCAATGACTTTTAAGTGTATTATGTGGGCAATGCAGTAGGAATCCTAGGACCTCGCAACCCACAGAACATCTGTGCATTCTAATAGTAGATAACACATTTATCACATAAATCAAAGAAGAGGGCTGAGATTTCTGATCGGGTGGGTGGATATGTTGGCATTACAGCAGGCCAGTGTGGGAGACAGTTTCGGAACCTCCTTCAAAACTCTCAATGCAAGAGCCATCTGGAGATGTATTTCGCCATAACTGCAGTGCCCTTCACATATATTAGGTGTTATTAATTCATTCCACAGCATGAGGCAATATTGTTACTTCTTGCTTGACATCTAAGTGGGTCAGAATAAGAATGAGCAAACACATAAAACGGTGTGTATATTTTATCTAGGTAAACTTTTATAATAGAGCACCAGGCAGGTTATAAAATTTAAATAAGGTGAGAAATTTGACCCTTCTAAGTCCTTAATAAACTCCATGAGTTTAATTTTTCAGATCTTTAACAGTACATTAAACTTTCTTTCAGTAATAATTTTGAATCCATATCTCAACTTTGTCAACCATATGTAAGATTGGCTATATTTCTTTATTCACCCCCATGTCTTGTCTGTGTCTTCATTTAACATACTTTTAGTGGCATTTAGAATACCTTGATCCTGGAAATTAAAACATGGTACAATGCATGACGATCCCATTTTTTCTTTGGCATTACGTTTTCACATTATATTCAGATGAAAGTGAGCATTCATTAGGAAAATCTGCTTTCCTGTGGCCAAGCAAAATGAGAGGGAAAGCCAAGCATATTTTTGTGTGGAGTCAAGCATCCTCTGTCTCCTCTTCACCCGAATCTCTCCCTAGTGACAGCTGAAAGGCATTCTTATGTAATTAATGTTAGCCAGTGATGTTTTCCTTTTAGACCAAGCTATGCAGCAAAGATTTCTCACCTGTCTCCAGATCCTTACGTATGTGTGAATAGTACAACTTCGAAATCCAAAACAAATATCTTGCTCTATTTTCTATAGGAAGAAATGACTATGCAGTGCTAAGGATTTATTAGTTCTCAGTTCTGCGTGTCTCCCTGTCAATCCAGTTGCCAATATCTCGCTGAGAGTATATTTCCTACTTTTCCAGCCATCTGAAGCATGGCTCTGTACCTCCCAAGTGTCCTTAAGAAATCTGCATGTTACCACTACTGCTTCTAGATGACCTCGCTCCTCCTTCTTCCTAGTGATTAAACAGAGACAGTGATTAGAGATGCTGTCAGGTCTCAGCCAATCAAGAAGTATGCTGCAGCTGGTCTGCGGACTGCCAGTAAAAGGAGCAATTCTAGCTAAAAG